GATTCCAGTCCGCCATAGGGTTTTTGAGCGTGAGGCGGCCGCATTTTTTCAAAGGGATGGTGTACACCTAATGGAGGTCGGGCTCGACCTTTTTAATCTCGCCCTACAGGAGGCAGTGGAACAGGCCATGAGGGGTTTTGGTGGGGTTCCCCGCTGATTTAGGGGGGTCTGGTGGCAGGGGTATGTCCTTGCCAATTAAGTTTGAGGGGTTATGTTTAAGGATGGAGTAAGTTCATTATGTTTGCAGGTCTCAACCTCCCCTGCTTCAAACGGTTAACATTAGGTTGCCTGAGGTGTCGTGCCCATTGAGCGTGGATAAGGTCGGCTGATGGAAAGAGATGATTTATGACGAGGGGGGAGGTGAGAGGAAGTGGTGGTTAGGAACCACTGTATGTTTATTGGCAAGGACGGTTGGGTCACTGCATAACACTGTGTTGAGTAATATGTTTAAATGTTAATTTATGATTATTTATTTCGTTACAGAAAGAAGAGATTTAATAAAAAGTTATGGATGTGTTATGCAGTAATTTATTTATGTTATAATAAATGCTGTGGCCTGTTCATCCATACTAAGTTGTTTGTCGTTATTGGGTGGTTTAATGGGGCTAGATTTATTCTAGGCTGCATCGCGATTCCCCACTACGTACATACAAGCATCTCCTCATAGAGATGCATTGAATCAGTGCATCTCTATGAGGAATGTTCACAATTTCCTTGCAGAGCTTGTATATGCTGAATGTTAGTGCTGCACTGAGTGACTACTACTGGAGGTGTCCTTAGGCAGCAATGTAAACACTGCCTTTTATCTGAAAAAGCAGTTTTTACTGCATAAATCCTGCAGTGACAAGCTATAGACACCAGAACAACTATATGTTCTGGTGACTATAGTTTCCCTTTAAGTTAGGGATGCCTGCTTAGCCCTTTAAAGCTGCAGTTTATTAGCTGTTTCGAAGGGAAAAAAAAAAAAGTACCTTTTTTTCAAAGAAAAAATAGTATGTTGAATGATTATATATGCTCAACTTTATTCAGTGCACCTAGTTTATGTGTTTTCTTTGTGTTTAAGTTTAAGCTAGTTGTGTTGTGTTTGTGTGTCAAGCATTTCCAACTCCCCTACCAATCTCGGTAATAAAGTTTAATAAAGCAATTACCAGCAGGGGCGTACCTAGGGCATGTGGCACCCGGGGCAGGTCCTGGGTCTGGCACCCCCCCCTTGTCCCCTTCCCCCTTCTCCAAAAAAAAAAACAAAAAAAAAGCCTACTTCATTTTTAAAATGTGTGATATTTTTGAAAATTTTTTTTTAAAAAACATTTATTGAACACATTTTTAAACTTTTTAAAACCCCTGCCCCCCTTTACAAAATCCCTGCACCCCCTCACACACAGTTACAGGCAGACAGTCACACACAGTTACAGGTAGAGAGTTACACACAAACACAGTCAGTTACAAGCAGTTACACACAGTCACGCACGCTGTTACAGGCAGACAGTCACATATACAGTCACACACACGGTCACAGGCAGACAGTCATACACATAGTTACAGCCACAAACACACACAGTTACAGACAGTGACACACACAGTCAGTTACAGGCAGCCACGCACAAAGTTACATGGCAGATAGTAACACACAGTTACGGGCAGCATCACACAGTCACAGGCAGACTGTCACACACAGTCACAGACAGTCACACACACCGTTACAGGCATGCAGTTGATACCGGAGAAACTGACGGAAGCAAAGCACAGAGGGATGGACACAGGTTTCTTCAGGAAGGAAGAGATTCTTTATTGGATCACCGATCGGGACTCAGAGGGACTAATGTCACCAAAAATACAGCAAGTTCTGAGCCCTGAACAATAGTGCAGGCTTCCTATATAGGCACATAACTCCTCCCACATTAAGCTCCACCCGCACATTCTCTTGACCAATCATTACAAATAAGAATTAACTTCCTGCTTGACCGCATGGCTTGTCCAGCACAATGGAGGAGGGGAATACTACATCCTGTATTCTTGCACATGCTCCGTACACTACTGATCGTATCTTGCCTCGTGCAACCAACTGATCGATACGTCAGCATATGCACGTACACATGCCACGTGGTAATCTCGGCCTACTAAATTTATTTTTACCGAGATTCCACCACATTCCCCCCTTTGATGCCTCTTGATATTTTACAATTACTTGAGGCATCACTTAACCTTGGTTTGCATACACCACAAGTTACCTTTGAACCAGACCAGACTTATCCTATGATGTGAATCTTCAACACTCATCTTCCTGCATTAGTTCTCCCTGATCTAGAGCCTTATATTTATAAATTGCCATTATCTGTGCAGCAGCCTTCCTCTCTGCTATATTTTCTATCAGGCTTTGCACAGACCTAACTACTAAGGGTATAAGACACGGCAGGAGTAGACACAACATTAAAATCAGTAGGACTCCACCTACCACTGCCTTAAGCCCTCCAAACCACTCATACCAGCTACCAAACCAACTACTTGGATTGTACCCTTTCCATACCTGAGTAGGCACATGCGCTAGTTTAACCATATGGCTAGTAAGCTCAGCTATTGCTTGCCCTTCGTCATCTATTTGAAGACAGCAATTGCTCAGGTTAAACTTCCCACATACACCTCCCTCTACTGCCAAAAGATAATCCAAGGCTAATCTATTTTGGTAAACTGCTGTCCTCATCCTGGTATTATGCTTCGCTAGAAGATTGAGCGCTTGTGATGTCTCGTTAGTAATGATCTCAACCACCGCCTGTAACCTTATAATGCGGTTGAGCATATAAATAGGGGTTCTATAACCAAAGGTACCATCCTCTGCCCACGTGGCTGGCCCATAATAATCTATAATACGCTGGGGAGGCCATTCATTATCTTCCCAGGCACCTATCTCTATGGGTCCCCTTTTCTTCCTATGATTCACATCATACACTTTAACACCTAAAGTCTCACCTATTTCAATAGGCAACAAGAAGAAGGATGGTTTTAACATACCCAACACACATGCCCCTTCCCAGTCCTGTGGTAACTCCGAATAGGCCTTCTTACCACAGATCCAGTACAAATTCGCTGGGGCTCTCCAGTTAGATGTGATGGATAGATCAAACCATACGTCCTTTAAATTGGCATATCTTGCAAACGGGTTAGATGGTTCTGAGACATTTGAAGCCGACCACCAAGTTGTATTCTTTGTATCATCATCATAAGCTTTTTGCCCTAGACAAGTTAATTCTCCTACAGAATTATTATACATCATTCCTTTCCTCGCTATGCAAACATAACCTATGATGGAGGTCTTCAATCTCCACTCAGATTTACCTCTAACACTCATATGATAGTCGGCTTGTGTAGATATTAATTGGTCAACTGCCTCAGAACCGGACATTACCTCCTTTGCTTCCCAAGGCCATTGGTCTCCCATGTTAGTACCTCCACACACACATAGCAGTTGGTAACATTAAGACTACCGGCAATACTCTCGGCTAAATCAATGAACAAGTTTTTAGCATTATGGGGGATCTTATTATCTATGCTCATCTCTTCATAAAAGGAATGGTATACTTGATGAGTTTGGGAGGTTACCGTATCAGTCTCTATCCTTATAAACAATATTGTCCCAGGGTCTAAACCTGTCCCATATATTTGAAACCCAAATAAATTACCATATTTATCTAAGAACTTGTCAGGGTTATTTATAAGTATATGGATTGGATTGCATTCCATAGACTTACAATATGGATCAATAGGCAACTTAGTCACAATCATGTCCTTGTCTACTGTCTGTCCCCAAGTCGCCCACCCCACACAAGACCAATATGGACAGAAGTTATAATCTCTATTTGGACATCTTGGACTTACATATTTATTTTTACTACTGGGACAAATATATTTATCGTTAGACCCATACGTCCTCTCCCATCTAAGATCCCCACATACATTCCACGGCTTTCTACCACTTGATATTGCTTTACACGCATCAAATAGCAGAGCACCTGAAGAATATACGTATTCTAATACCGTCTTATTAATTAGGGTTCCCTGAGGATCTCCATTTCTGAGAGTCAACCAAATTGTACGGGGTTGATACTCAGGACTGAAGCACTTAGGTTCTCCTACTCCTAAATGACACACTCTATATTCTATATTTAAGTATCTACATCTTGATACATCTCCTTTACACTCATATTGCGAATGCCAAATCAGGGTCTGGGATATATGGTTACCTGTTCTTGTAGTCTTAATGCATACCTCACAGCTAGGAGTGTCGGTACCTCTACCTTCCTGAATATAAAAATACACATAAATAAGCATTATTAAAAATACATCTTTCGTCGTCATCCTCAGTCTTCGTCCGTGCGAAGGCACCTCAGCTTCCAGGATGTAAGGGCTGCAGGGAATGGAGTTCTGCTCGTCTTCACAGGGGGCCCCTCAAGACTTTCCCTGACTTATACACTCGTTGGTGAGTGGACAGGCTTTATTATGGCCTTCTCACTCACTTACCAAGTCTCTGAAACAATAAAATTTGTGATCCACAAGGTTCCTCGTCACTCCGACTGAGTCGTGCGTTTTAACCGGATCTTGCAGGGATTCTCTGGATTTGTTGTAACTTGCCAGGAATCGGCTGCTGCTGGTTTAACCCTGGAGTGATGTATCCACGGAGCCACTTCGGCTACTTTTATCGCTGTAGGGGTAGACAGAAGAACAACATAAGGACCTCTCCACTTGGGCCCTAACGGCACATTATTCCACTCTTTAATCCACACTTGGTCGCCTGGGTGGTAACTATGAATTGGGGGATAAATATTCACAGGTAATCTATCTTGTACCCATTTCTGTACCTCCTCCATGGTCTTACCCAACTCCACAACCTGCTGCCGGGTAATTCCTTCTCCCAACTGACTCAAATCCCCCTTAAGTTACCAAGC